GCCGGGCTTATGTCGGCCTTGCGACGCGACGCGATTGCCTTGCGACGCGACGCGATTGCCTTGCGACGCGATTGCCTTGCGACTGATTTTCTGCAACTGGTTGCAAATCGCAGTGACGATCGCTTTGCAGAGAAAGTTCGACCTAAGCACCTCTGCGACTGCCAGCGACAAGGTCTGCGACTGCCAGCGACTGTCTGCGACTGGAAAATTGTCAGTCGCAGCGATGTTCTACATTTTCTACTCTTGCGACGCGACGCAACGCGACTGGTTCCATCGGTCGCAAGCATTGTTTTTCATGGTTACTACTCGAAATAAGCTGCCTTGCGATTGCTGCGACGAGATTCGACTGTTTGAAAGACACGTGAATGTAAAAATGGTGACCGAACTATGGTCAGACGAAGCAGAAGGAAAGCTTCTTGAATTGTGGTCAGACCGGCTGTCGGTTTTCGACATAGTCGAAACTTTATTCAGACCGTCTCCAAAAAGACAGGGATCTAAATGAATTATCGTTGCAGTTGGATAAACCTGGTATGTTCCTAAAAATCATGAATAATCCCTCTCATTTATTTAACAATATAACTTATAGTTAAAAGTAATGTTTCTGATGTGTTTTCAATGAAAAACACACGTTTTACTAATTAATATCAAATCTAGTTTCACTCTAACATGGACGTCGCCATTTTGAATGTCCATTATGCATAGGAATCTCGTCGCAGCAATCGCAAGGCAGCTTATGTCGGGTAGTAACAATGAAAAACAATGCTTGCGACCGGTGGAACCAGTCGCGTCGCGTCGCAAAAGTAGAACATGTGCGACTCGCTGCGACTGACAATTTTCCAGTCGCTGAGCGGCACAGACCCGTCGCTGGCAGTCGCAGGGGTGCTTCTTTCTCTGCGACGCGATCGTCACTGCGACTTGCAACCAGTTGCAGAAAATCAGTCGCAAGGCAATCGCGTCGCGTCGCAAGGTCAACCTAAGCCCTGCTTAAGTAGCACTGCATGCACATATTATGAATATATTATGCATATATTATGCATATATTATGCATATATTATGCATATATTATAATCATTACATATATAATTATGTCATTATATATTATAATAGGCGTTTGTTTCGTTTGCAGGCGGAGGCGTACAGGCAGATAGCAAAACTGGTTGTGAATCAACTTTCTACATCTTGATCCTGACCAGGTGGTTGATGGAACGCTTATAAAGCACATTTTGCATTTACTCTGCGTTTTAAACTTCTCGTCGTTTGTTCTGTAGGATAAATGTAAAAGGAAAAAATACTGCAGCCTATATGTGCCTAAAATGCGAAATAACCTCTAGGTGGTTTCTAAGCGAATGTTGTAGTCACATTATTGTCATTATTATGGATTTAGTTTTCTGGCAATGGACGTCAATGCACGTATATTGATTCTTTTTCATTATAATTGATGTTCTGGCCAATTTTAATGGTAAAAGTATTCATGTAAGGAATATACATTGCAAACTGAGTTTGTTGAAGACGCAAATGCACAATTGGAAAATGCATTATTTTTTTAGTTGCGTCAATATGGGGTAAATCTTGTGTAGCAAACCATGACGCACCAAAAATCATCAGGATCGGAAATTGTGAGAATAAACAGTGTACCACATGCTGTGTGCACTTAAGGACATGTGTTCGTGTAAGTGATATTCAACGTAGACCGAGTTTATTGATGAGACAACTGCATCAGGTGCCTTAGCAAATGCATCCAGTAGCTCATGTGTGTCGCATAATCCGTGATAGCTGTGCTATAGACTCACATACACCCCTATGTAATTGTTTATTATCAATAGGCGTACTTTGGATTGTTTTGCACACGTGCACTCCCTGCAGATTCACTCTGCTATAATCTTTCAAAGCTCGAGGGTTTTTAGCCTTGTTGATCAGAAATCCGTTTATTACGTGGCGGCCATCTCACCATTAGTATCTTGTAATCGCTTTTATACCGCGACAAGGAAACCCGCGAGTCAGATGACTAAAACATAATGTAAACGAGCCAAACCGCAGCCTAGCTGAACCGCTTAAATACCGCGCAAAATAAGAACTGAACAGTGCTAGAAATACTACAGTATGACACGCTTAACAGAAATGATGAGAAGAAATAACACTCCCCACCTTGAACTACGTTCAACAAAGTAAACTTAGGAAGAGCCCTCTAGTAGCACAATCTTTGAGATCGGGCGGACGATACGCGTCGCTTTGCTTTTCACTTTGGCTGATTAGACGAGACCGTCTCTGCCATTATTCACATCTATCACGAGGCCAAGCGGCCATAGTCCTCTTGGGGTGTTCTCGTTCACCACCAGCACTAAATCACCTATCTTGATGTTCCTGCTATGCACAATCCACTTGCTTCTACGCTGCAGCTCTGGCAGGTATTCTTTCACCCACTTGCGCCAGAACTGATCCGCGAGATGCTGTACGTGACGCCAACGCCTAGGATACATGTCGCTGGATCCGAACTTGCCGGGGGGCAACGTAGCGCCATCCCGTAGCAATAAAAGATGGTTAGGCGTAAGCGCTCTCGAATCACTTACATCATCGCTGCTCTTGGTGATAGGCCGACTGTTGATAATGTTTTCTACTTCGCAGAATAGCGTCTCCAGCACTTCGTCCGTCAGTCTGTGATTCCCGCGCAGCAAGGCATTGAACACCTTCCTGATGGAACGAATCATACGTTCCTAAATGCCACCCATATGCGATGCATGTGAAGGATTAAAAACCCACACGATATCCTTTCTCGCACAGTGCGAGTAAATCATGTCCTTATTTAATTAGCTCATGCTTCTTGAAAGCTCAGCTTGACCGCGAGTAAAGTTTGTCCCGTTGTCAGACCAAACCTTTTCAGGCTGACCTCTTCTCGACATGAACCTTCTAAATCCGTTAAGGAACGCGTCAGTTTCCAAGCTGTTTAACTTCTCTATGTGCACGGCACGTGTGGTGAGGCATGTGAACACACATCCATATCTCTTTACCTCTGATCTGCCTTCACGTAGAAAGGTCCAAAACAATCTAATCCTACGTAAGTAAACGGTGGCTTGCTATGTGCTAGCCTCTCAAGATATGTTGGTGTCGTTGGGGCTTTGATATGCTCACCGCGGCGACGATTACTGCTTCGGTAAAATCGGCCTTCCTCTTTATCATTATAAGTAATATGTTTATCATTCAAGTGTGAATAGATTAAATTATTATTTATATTGTTATCATCACGGTGAAGATTTTATATTATATATATTTATAATCACGTGGATAGATGATTATATATTATATTCATTTATCATCACAGGTGAAGATTATTTATATTATAGTATTATTATCAATTCACGGTGAAGATATTATATATATATATATTATCATCACAGTCGTGAAGATTATTATATTATATTATTATTATCATCACAGTGAAGATTATCTTAATTTATATTATATTATGATCACAGGTGAAATTATTATTATTATATATTATTATGATCACAGGTGAAGATCTATGTATATTATATATATTATGATCACAGGTGGAAGATTATTTATATTATATATATTTTTGATTCAACAGGTGTTAAGATTATTATATTATATATGTTCTCACAGGTGAAGTATATGATATATGACATAGAGGTTATTATAATTATATTATTAATTATCACAGGTGAAAGAATTATATATATTATATATATTATGATCACAGACAGTGAGATTATTATATTACGATATTATCATCATATGGTGAAGATTGCTGACGTTGATGTTCACCAGACTCGCTGGAACGCGACGACGGGCCACGACAGCGGTAACGTTGACTGATAGTATTATCCGCCCGCCGCTGTGGCCTACGAGTTAATTACTCCATCCTGGCAGTGCTCGCCCTTCACTCCTGAACTCTTCATCTTTTCTCATCCTCGTTAAAACAACAAACGGCGCCTCTGCTTCGATCGTTCTGGTAAATCCCAACAGAAGGCTGTTCCGAGGCACCCAAGTTCTACTCGATCGTGTTCTTTCTAACAGTGTTCGGACTTCCTCGTTGGTCTCGTGCAAATCTACTTACGTCTACGCGCGCATGTCGCGAACTCGGCTTCAGCGACCACACGTCTGTATAGGCGACGTATCGTGGCTGAGTCTTTCCTCGCGCCGAACGCTGTCATGTATTCAGTCTGCTCATCGTCGCTGTTCGAGCAGTACGTGACCATTCATGGCATCCGTACATGTACGGTCGACCGCGTTCGGGAAGAGCCGCGTCCGCTGGCCTTCAATCGTCATCGTTTTTCGCACGGTCCGTCCTCGTCAACACGCTCCCGCTGATGGCGTGCGGAGTTCATTTTAGACTTCCGGCGCTGCCCATCGCATTGGTCATGCTATCCGTTCAGTTATTTTCCTCGTCGGACGCCATCTTTATTTATTTCATCCCCTCGTTTGTATGATGTCCATCCTCTCCACGCGCCATTTCATCGTTTGCTAAGGCACCACATTCGCTGCTATTAACGACCAGTGCTACGCATAGCAACGCTGTCCGCGGCCGCCACCTTCTTTCATGTACCAGCCTCCGGTTGAACGAGCTCTGTGGCGCAGCAGTGGAAACCGTGGATAAAGCGAGCTGCGGGTTCGCCGGTGTACGATATTCACGGTCATTCTGGACTGTTTCGCGTTTCAAGTTGCCTGCCCTTCTCGGTGCTGGGTCATACTCAACAGCTACCACAGAGTGGGTTCACATTGGGTATTTACCTTTATTTACCTGACACTCACCACACACACACATCACACACACACACACACAACACACACACACACACACTACTACGCGGCGCGTCACACTGCACACACGCACACACCACACAATCAAGCACACACACACACACGCACACGCACACACACACGCAGCGCTAAGCTGCGCACACACACGCGCATTCGCACGCATGCACACACGCACGCACGTCACGCACACACACGGGCGCGCGAACACATACACCGAGCGCGCACATACTACGACGACGCGCGCACACACGCACTCATCACACACGCACGCACACACACACACACACCACACAACACCACACACACACACACCACACACACACACACACACACACACACACACACACACACACAGATCTATCAGTCTCTCCCTCTCGCTTGTTCGCTCTCTTTCTCTCTCTTTCTCCCTTCGTCTCTATCCTTCTTTCTCTTATACCTCTCGTCCTCTCTCCCTCCTCCGCTCTTCTTCTCTAACACGCTCTTCTCTCGCTGCGCGCCTTTGCCTAGTTTTTTATCTACTTCAAACCATTCATATAAATGATAATAGATTGCTGAATTGACGTTTAAATTAGAATATATTATAGGGCCTGATTAATAGATAAATAATTTTTTTACGTGGACTGTTAAATTTATGTGTAAGGGTGGGCCTTGATTGGGTAAAAGTGTATAATTCTAACCCCGGTAAAATATTAACTGAGCATGATGGCCCACCATATAGACGGAGCGACCGACGGGTAGATAGATCTAGTATTCGACATTATACACATCTTATGTACAATGCTTCTGCAGGACGTTAAATTAATATCATTGCTTAATTTACTAGTTGACATTACTATCAAATCGTGAGTCTCCATAACAGGACACATTAGCGACTAATGGAAATGCGTATGCACATTCTTTACTTTGCGACGTTCGAGATACCGAGTGGAGTTCGTCGGTGACCGCTGTTTCTTTGCAAACGTTTTTGGACCGCCGTTATCTTACGCGGATTCGTCATCGAGATTTTCTGCCATCTGCTGAACGTCCTCCTTCTGCGGCTGGGGAGACGGCCAGTGTGGAGCAGTTTCGTCTTACCCTTGGGCTGTTCAACCGGCGTGTTAGATGTGAAAGCCACTGGAATTCCTATCACATCCATCATACATCATCATCATCATCATCTATCATTCCATCGATTTATCATTCATCCATCATCATTCATCTTCATCAATCTATTATTTCATCAGCATCACCATCCATCATCATCTCTATTCTTCATCCTCATCATCATCATTCATTATCATCATCTTTTTATCATCATCATCGTTATCATCAGCATCATCATTCATCATTCACCATCATCATCCATCATCACATCGATGTCAGCATCATTCATCAGCCATTATCATCATCATTCTTCATTATTACCATCATCATCATCAAGCAGCAGGCAGCATCATGATCATTAGCATCTCTTCCCTCTATCATTATCTCATCATTAGCATCTCTTCCCTCTATCATTATCTCATCATTAGCATCTCTTCCCTCTATCATTATCTCATCATTAGCATCTCTTCATCTATGTTGATAATTGCTTCTCTCGGGAGATTCAGGGGAGGAGAATCGTTGTTATAAAAATCATAGGAACACAATATTATCAGAAGTGTCTAATATGAGACTATATTATTTCTCTTATAGTCTATTATAGTCTATATAATTCTATATAGTTCTATTCAGTCTAATTGAGTCTATATAGTCCATAATTATAGGTCTAATAGTCTATATAGTCTATGGTTCTATATAGTCTATAGTCTTATATAGTCTACTATAGTTATATAGATTATTATAGTCCTATATAGTCTACTATAGTATATAGTCTATATAGTCTATACTGATCCCTCATAT